CTATGGTTACATCATAATTGATTTACAAATCTAGAAACTTTTAAAATTCTACAGAAATCCATAAATTACAGCAATTCTTCAAATTTAACCCTGCAAACCTATCTTTCTTATAACCACAAACATGTACACCATACTTTATTAGGCATTTTTCATGTGTAAAACGTTTAATTACTTTGAAATGGGTAATTATATTATGACAAGATAAAAATTAAAAATAAGTCTTGCTGTAACCATTATAGATGTTTTTGAAAAAGATGTCATACGATGGAAAGAGGAGGATGTGGTTTACAGTGAAAGCCACGGTTTCCCTGCAATGTTGGATCAAGTCAGAAAGCAATCTTACATGACATTTGTTGGTGTCCCAGGATCAGGAAAATCGGCAACGATTCATCACATAGCCCTGATACTCCAGAAGGAAGAATACGAGGTTGTACCTATTATAGACATCAGGAAGATCGAAGATTATTCTGACTCTCGTCATCCACAGGTTTTTGTCATTGATGATGTGGTAGGTGTTTTAGGTCTGCAAAAACAAAAGTTAGAGTCATTGATAGACTATGAAAAAAGAATTTCAGATCCGTCCAATAGAAATACAAAGGTATTAATGTCATGTAGGGAAGCAGTGTTTAATGAATGTTACAGATCATTTTTCCGAAATGAAGAAAACACAATTAAGATACATAGTTCCGAAAACGCATTGAATGATGAAGACAGAAAAGCGATTCTTCAGAAACACGGCTTGGATAGAGATTTGTTGTCCCCAACATTACTTGGAGAAACATTAGATATGTTTCCTCTATTATGTAAACTATACTCAAAAGAGGAGAAATTTAAGAACAATGTTGAAAGGTTCTTTACCTGTCCAGCAGAATGTATTTTAGGACAATTCAATGAAATGAAAGGGCGAAATAGTTTGTGCTATGCTACATTGGTCTTGTGCATGTTGAATGAAAAAAAACTATCAAAAGAAATATTAACATTGAAAAACATGGAAAACGACGTTTTCCAGGGAATGAAAGCAAAAGTACTAGAAGAATGTAAAGTTGAAAGTTATACTGATGCATTCAAATTTGTTGATACATTGGCAGCTATGGAGGGTACATACACAAAACTCTGTGGTACTGAGTACACCATTATTCATGACTCTGTCTTTGAAATCCTTGTGTATCATTATGGATGTCAGTTTCCAGATCTTTTGTTGCAATATATTAGCAGTAGTTACATTGCTAATAACGTGAAAGTACAAGAATGTAAAGAAGAGTCAGAGGTTGAATATAAGCAAGATGAAAATGAAGAATTTAGTGCTGAGGAGCAGGAAACATTAAGTAGTGAAACAATCCAGGACTCATTTGAACTCTGCATAAGGTTAAGAGAGGATCAGTACCCAATGTTAGCAGAGCGTTTGTACAGAGATATAGAACATATGGAGCTGTATGATGTTTTTATGAATAATGTTTTAAAAGATAATAAGGTATGTCAGGCTTTTATTGAAGTATTAATGTCAAAAACGTACTCAGAGTTGAAGTCTTTGTTTCTTATAGAACAGCAAGATGTGTCTAAGGTTGTGAGTAAAGGAGAGCATGTGAGTGAGGAGAGTGAGAAGAGGAGCAGGGAATGGCTCAGACAGTGGGTGTTAGTGAATGAGAATTATGATGATATAGAAATAACATACAGTGTGAGGGTTATAAGTTGGGTAGTTTACTACGGACACAATCAGATCTTACAATATATTTTAAAACAAACTGAATTACACAAAGAAACAGAGATTGAACTATTTTGGAATTCCTTTAGCCCCAAATTAATCTATGAAGCCAAAGAGAGACAAAATAAATCTGAAAAAGATAATGCCACAGACAAATTATTTTTTTCGAACTCCATTACTGATACAAGAAATCAAAAACAGAGCAATAGTTCGTCTGTTTCTGAACAAGACCGTTTATTTTTATTGAGTTGTTACAGTGGAGATTTAGAGACTGTAAGAATGTTAATCAGGTATGTCGATATAAAAGCGCAAAAGACAAAAACACATTTGTTTTGTGATATACCACTGACAGCAGCATGTAAAGGTGGACATCTGAGTTTAGTGAAGGAGCTTATAGAAGCCGGAGCTGATATCAATCTACAAGGTAGGTTTAATACACCACTGACAGCAGCATGTGAGGAGGGACATATGAGAGTAGTAAAGGAACTTATAGAAGCTGGGAGCTGATATCAATACACCACAATGTAAAGCTGATATCAACACCACTGACAGCAGCATGTTACCATGGACATATGAGTGTAGTGAAGGAGCTTATAGAAGCTGGTGCTGATATCAATCCTCAAGATGGGTATAATACACCACTGACAGCAGCATGTGAAGGTGGACATATAAGTGTAGTGAAGGAGCTTATAGAAGCCGGAGCTGATATCAATCAACAAGGTAGGTTTAATACACCACTGACAGCAACATGTAAAGGTGGACATTTGAGTTTAGTGAAGGAGCTTATAGAAGCCGGAGCTGATATCAATCTACAAGGTATGTTTAATACACCACTGACGGCAGCATGTCATGGTGCACATATGAGTGTAGTGAAGGAGCTTATAGAAGCCGGAGCTGATATCAATCACAAGGTGATTAATACACCACTGACAGCAGCATGTAAGGGTGGACATATGAGTGCAGTGAAGTTGCTTATAGAAGCCGGAGCTGATATCAATCCTACGAGGTAAGTATGATACACCACTGACAGCAGCATGTGTGGGTGGACATATGAGTGTAGTAAAGGAGCTTATAGAAGCCGGAGCTGATATCAATCAGCAAGGTGATTGTGATACACCACTGACAGCAGCATGTGAGTGTGGACATATGAGTGTAGTGAAGGAGCTTATAGAAGCCGGAGCTGATATCAATCAGAAAGGTGAGTATAATACACCACTGACAGCAGCATGTTAGGTTGGACATATGAGTGTAGTGAAGGAGCTTATAGAAGCTGGAGCTGATATCAATCAACAAGGTAAGTATCATACACCACTGACAGCAGCATGTAAGGGTGGACATATGAGTGTAGTGAAGGAGCTTATAGAAGCCGGAGCTGATATCAATCAACAAGGTGAGTATGATACACCACTGACAGCAGCATGTATGGATGGACATACGAGTGTAGTGAAGGAGCTTATAGAAGCCGGAGCTGATATCAATCAACAAGGCACGTTTGATACACCACTGACAGCAGCATGTGAAGGTGGACATATGAGTGTAGTGAAGGAGCTTATAGAAGGCCGGAGCTGATATCAATCAACGAGGTAATGATGATACACCACTGACAGCAGCATGTAAGGGTGGACATATGAGTGTAGTGAAGGAGCTTATAGAAGCTGGAGCTGATATCAATCTCACAAGGTGTATCATACACCACTGCAACAGCAGCATGTGGGGGTGGACATATCATTTTAGTGAAGGAACTTCTGGTAGCCGGAGCTGATATCAATCCACAAGGTTTTAAATCTACACCACTGACAGCAGCATGTAAAGGTGGACATATGAGTGTAGTGAAGAAGCTTATAGGTGCCAGAGCTGATGTCAATCAACAAGGTGAGTTTGATACACCACTGACAGCAGCATGTGAAGATGGACATATGAGTGTAGTGAAGGAGCTTATAGAAGCCGGAGCTGATATCAATCAACAAGGTGAGTATGATACACCACTGACAGCAGCATGTAAGGGTGAACATATGAGTGTAGTGAAGGAGCTTATAAAATCTGGTGCTGATATCAATCTTCAAGCTGAAGATGATACACCCCTGACAGCAGCATGTGAAGATGGACATATAAGTGTAGTAAAGGAGCTTATAGAAGCCGGAGCTGATATCAATCTACAAGGTAGGTTTAATACACCACTGACAGCAGCATGTGAGGAGGGACATATGAGTGTCGTAAAGGAACTTATAGAAGCTGGTACTGATATCAATCAAAGGGGTGGGTTAAATACACCACTGACAGCAGCATGTGAGGGTGGACATATGAGTGTAGTGAAGGAGCTTATAGAAGCCGGAGCTCAAGATATCAATACACCACTGACAGCAGCATGTGAAGGTGGACATATGAGTGTAGTAAAGGAGCTTATAGAAGCCGGAGCTGATATCAATCAGCAAGGTGATTGTGATACACCACTGACAGCAGCATGTGAGGGTGGACATATGAGTGTAGTGAAGGAGCTTATAGAAGCTGGAGCTGATATCAATCAACAAGATGAGTATGATACACCACTGACAGCAGCATGTGAAGGTGGACATATGAGTGTAGTGAAGGAGCTTATAGAAGCCGGAGCTGATATCAATCAACAAGGTAAGTATGACACACCACTGACAGCAGCATGTAAGGGTGGACATCTGTGTGTAGTGAAGGAGCTTATAGAAGCAGGAGCTGATATCAATCAACAAGGTAAGTGTAATACACCACTGACAGCAGCATGTTGGGGTGGACATATGAGTGTAGTGAAGGAGCTTATAGAAGCCGGAGCTGATATCAATCAACATGGTAAATCTGATACACCTCTGACAGCAGCATGTGAGGGTGGACATATGAGTTTAGTGAAGGAGCTTATAGAAGCCGGAGCTGATATCAATCTACAAGGTGAGTATACACCACTGACAGCAGCATGTGAGGGTGGACATATGAGTGTAGTGAAGGAGCTTATAGAAGCCGGAGCTGATATCAATCAACAAGTTGGGTATTTTACACCACTGACAGCAGCATGTGAGGAGGGACATATGAGTGTAGTAAAGGAACTTATAGAAGCTGGTACTGATATCAATCAGCAATGTGAGCATAAGACACCACTGACAGCAGCATGTGAAGGTGGACATATGAGTGTAGTGAAGGAGCTTATAGAAGCCGGAGCTGATATCAATCCTAAAGGTAAGTATGATACACCACTGACCGCAGCATGTAAGGGTGGATATATGATTGTATTAAAGGAGCTTATAGAAGCCGGAGCTGATATCAATCAAAAAGGTAAGTATGATACACCACTGACAGCAGCATGTGAGGGTGGACATATGAGTGTAGTGAAGGAGCTTATAGAAGCCGGAGCTGATATCAATCAGAAAGGTGAGTATAATACACCACTGACAGCAGCATGTAAGGGTGGACATATGAGTGTAGTGAAGGAGCTTATAGAAGCCGGAGCTGATATCAATCAGCAAGGTGAGTGTGATACACCACTGACAGCAGCATGTGAGGGTGGACATATGAGTGTAGTGAAGGAGCTTATAGAAGCCGGAGCTGATATCAATCAGCAAGATAGTTGTGATACACCACTGACAGCAGCATGTGAGGGGGGACATATTAGTCTAGTGAAGGAGCTAATAGAAGCCGGAGCTGATATCAATCAGCAAGGTATGTTTGATACACCACTGACAGCAGCATGTGAGGGTGGACATACGAGTATAGTGAAGGACTTATAGAAGCCGGAGCTGATATCAATCACAAGGTAGTTATAATACACCACTGACAGCAGCATGTAGAGGTAGACACATAAATGTAGTGAAGGAGCTCATAAGAGCCGGAGCTGATATCAATCAATAAGGTAAGTATGATACACCACTGATAGCAGCATGTGAGAGGGGATATATGAATGTAGTGAAGGAGCTAATAAAAGCCGGACCTGATGTCAATCAACAAGGTGAGCATGACACACCACTGACAGCAGCATGTGATGGTGGACATATGAGTGTAGTGAAGGAGCTAGAGACACCGGAGCTGATATCAATAGAATCATACACCACTGGCAGCTGATATCAATAAACAAAATCAAGCATGATACACCACTGACAGCAGCATGTAAAGGTGGACATATGAGTGTAGTGAAGGAGCTTATAGAAGCCGGAGCTGACATCAATTTACAAGGTTATTATCATACACCACTGACAGCAGCTTGTGAGGGTGGACATATGAGTGTAGTGAAAGAGCTTATAGCACTGACAAGCATATAGAGGGTGGACGGAGCTGATATCAATCACAAGGTGAGTATAATACACCACTGACAGCAGCATGTAAGGGTGGACATATCAGTGTAGTGAAGGAACTTATAGAAGCCGGAGCTGATATCAATCAAAGGGGTGGGTTAAATACACCACTGACAGCAGCATGTGAGGGTGGACATATGAGTGTAGTGAAGGAGCTTATAGAAGCCGGAGCTGATATCAATCAGAAAGGGAAGTATGATACACCGCTGACAGCAGCATCTAAGGGAGGATATATGAGTGTAGTGAAGGAGCTTATAGAAGCCGGAGCTGATATCAATCAAGGTAAGTATGATAAACCACTGGCAGCAGCAGTGCAGGGTGGACATATGAGTGTAGTGAAGGAGCTTATAGAAGCCGGAGCTAATATCAATCTACAAGGTGAGGGCCATACACCATTGACAGCAGCATGTAAGGGTGGACATATGAGTGTAGTGAAGGAGCTAATAGAGGCCGGGGCTGATATCAATAAAAAAGGTCCTTATGGTTATACACCACTGACAGCAGCATGTAAGGGTGGACATATAAGTGTAGTGAAGGAGCTTATAGAAACCGGAGCTGATATCAATCAACAAGCTTGGTTGCATACACCACTGACAGCAGCATGTGAGGGTGGACATATGAGTGTAGTGAAGGAGCTTATAGAAGCCGGAGCTGATATCAATCAGCAAGATAGTTGTGATACACCACTGACAGCAGCATGTGAGGGTGGACATATGAGTGTAGTGAAGGAGCTTATAGAAACCGGAGCTGATATCAATCTACAAGGTGAGTATAATACACCACTGACAGCAGCATGTGAGGTAGGACATATAAGTGTAGTGAAGGAGCTTATAGAAGCCGGAGCTGATATCAATCAGCAAGATAGTTGTGATACACCACTGACAGCAGCATGTACAGAAGGACATATGAGTGTAGTTAAAGTGCTTATAGAAGCCGGAGCTGATATCGATGAGCAAGCTGAAGATGATACACCCCTGACAGCAGCATGTAAGGGTGGACATATGAGTGTAGTGAAGGAGCTTGTAGAAGGCGGAGCTGATATCAATCAGAAAGGGAAGTATGATACACCACTGACAGCAGCATCTAAGGGAGGATATATGAGTGTATTGAGAGAGCTCATAGAAGCTGGAGCTAATAACATCAGTCAGATAAGTCAGAAACACCAATGACAACAGCGGATGAGGGTGAGATGTTATGAATACTTACTAGAGGTTTAATATTTGAAGGAACTGCTACAGACTGGGGCTTAATATCATTTACAAGAGTCCCTTAATGTACATCTAAGGATAGAATAAATACGATTGTGACAAATCTGCTAGCACTCATGTATGGTAATTATATATATAGAGGAAATCGTCTTTAATAAAATTAAGACTGTAATCTTTGCAGAATCGATTGATGATTTAAAGTTTGCATTTCATCTGTAACTTTTTTTTGTTTAGAATGATTGATGGACATATAGTTTTTTTGGTGGATGATTTTATAGAGATGATATTATTCTCCTGGGTGTGTAGGTTGATGTTATTGTCAGGGTAAGGTTCAGCAAGGATGATTGTGTGTTATTTTAGCATGGTCTGTCTGTTAAAGGTTAAACGAGACAAATGTTCAGTGAGTTAAGAATAAGCGATACTTTTTTTTTGAAATCGTTGCATGTGTGCATATAAGAGTTACGGGTGCTGAAGAATGTGCGAGACAGTAAAAGAAAGAATGGTGACTCTGGACAAGATTATACTGATACCGATATTTAAAAATCGAAGATTTGTTTGAATACCTAAAACGTGCTGAGAGGAAGATAGTGCTGATTAAATCAAAGAAATGTGAAAGTTGATGTTCTTTAGAAAAAAGTAATTCCGTATAGTGTACATAAAAAAATTATAAAAATAAGAGCTTATGTCCTGACATTATACGCAATGTTTTACCTACCCTCTCTTTAAAAGGTGTCTTGAAATTTTTTTGTTATTATTTACAAGTATTAAGACTTGCTTCAGAAAGAGATCAGTCTTTAATCAGTATATGTTGTTGTATATTATATAGAACGATTTTACTCTTCTTTGGACTTTCAGTAGGGCGTAACTTTCTCGGCACTACGTAATGGTGAATACTAGTAGATTTTCATTGGTTACGAAATTAATAACATCGGGAACTTAAAATTGTTGTTGATAACGATTAGACGACTTATGCCCCACCTCTGTACCGTGAGGAAACTTTTAATTGGCTATTTACTATATCAGTTGACACTCTGTCGCATTTCTATCATATGTATATTTCAACAGTGACGGGAAGCTGTGTAAATTTCAGAAGCTAATTTTTATAATTAGGTAACATCGAGAATGCCACGCCTTATTGAAAGTCCAAGCTAAGCGTGTAATGGTCCTAAATTGTCCAATTCACCATGCAAAAGAAAAAAAAATTAGTGCATCCACTCTCATTTTGAATCATTCTGCAAAGTTGGAACAATTTTAGTCACAAATGGCATTGAGTGGAAACTGCCATTCTCTACAAATAATTAAATTTTACCTGTTCATTCTTGACATTAAGAGAAGGGTCCCTTTTTTGTTTCCATACTTCAATATTTTATATTATGGCTGTAATGCGTCAATTGTTTGGTTGAAAAGAAGTTTGTATCATGAGTTGCTGCTAAATTGTGTGAATGCTTAATTTTTCTTTATCTTTACTCTTTTGTTGCCCTCAATTGTCTCTCATGGTTTTTCTTTTCAAGTATTGTTCATTTATTTATAAATATGATGCATGATATAATATTACATTTGTTTACAATTAAAACAAAGAAATCTTTGAAATAGAAAAGGAAGAATTTAAAAAAAAATATTTAAAAGAGTCAGAATATTTCTTATTTTATATATTTTTTTTAATAAATCACATAATAAAAAAAATATAGAGATGCTTATCATTCATTTTACTATAAGGTACATATACAGAAGTTTTTGAGCATTAATTTTCAATATATTGCAAAGTTTTTTAATGGAACCTGAACGTATCGTTGTACATATTCAGACATATACTTAGATCATCTAATTTTTTTTTAACTTTTGTGGAAATGTTTATATAGTTTTATATATAACTGTTTATATATACTTCATCATATGTAATACCTGTACTGTAAACGTATTATATGCAGCATGTGCGATATTTGTCGAAAATTGAATTTGGGACAAGTTGGTGTTGATTTGATTTGATTTGATTTAGCTCATATCCTAATGTTCGTATTTGAGTATAAGCACAAGACATTTAGCAAGTGTACTTGAATAAGCGAGAGTTTCTTACCACCAAATGTGCTAGAAAGTATACAAAGCTTAATGTCATAAGTTTACAGTATGTTGTTCAATTCAGTTGTTACAGTTTTAAGTGTATATTTTGTATATCAAATAAGTGGACATTTGTAATTGATTTAAAGAAATGTTCAGTTTCACGTGTTATCAATTACATGTACTTTGTTCCTTAAATGAATTTTATTCTCATCTAAATATTAATAATAAACTTTCTGTAAAGCTCAGCTTCTTTAATTATACCCCCCGCAAACGAAGTTTAGGGGGGGGTATATTGGAATCACCATGTCCGTCTGTCCGTCTGTCCGTCTGTCTGTAGACGAGACTTTGTCCAGACCATTACTCAGAAACTATTGGAAGGATTTGTCTGAAAATTTGTACACATATTATTCACCATATGAAGTTGTGCACCTGATATTTTTCATCTTGATTGGATTATTATTTTGAATTTTACAGGTGATTTTTCATTTTTATTTTGGGGTTTTGTTTGGACCGTTTCTCAGAAACTATTGCAAGGATTAATCTGAAAATTTGTACAATTATTATTCACCATATGAAGTTGTGCACCTGGAATTTTCAACTCTTTTTGTTCATTTTTCTGCATTTTACAGGTTTTTTTAAATTTTAATTGACTTGTTCATTTTGGGCTCAAGTATAAGGTTTGAGACATAGAATCTAGAATATCTGTACAAAAACATGAACTACAGCTTAAAACTACTCATAAAAACTTAAAAAAAAAGAAACATCAAGTGTTAAAAACAGTTTTTACATTGCACAGAAGATAATGTAATTTCATTTGTCTCTTGGGAATAATGACTGGACATGCATCCAGTTAATGATAAATTAATGACTTTGGTGCTGGAAGTTGTTTAGGCATATCTCTTATCAAGCGTGTGTGTCTGTTATCAAATCTTCAGGGAATAAGGCACAAGAATTAAAGATCTCTCTTCTCTTATTCTCTTAATTGTAATTTATTGTCTGTCAAAACACTTCATTACTGGATGACCAGTTCTTTATTTTCAAAATGCATTTCAAATTGATATATCAAGATTAATTTGATTTTGTAGGTTTCTTTTTTCAACAATCAGTTTGCAGAGTGACATAACACATAATTGCAATATATTTTTTTAATGCAGTAATGAAGAAAAATTAAATGATAAAAATAAAAGCTTTAATGTTACAATGGAATCATAATGTATTAGTATTGATGTTTCATTTGGTTGCACCTCCGTTTCATTCATAAAGAAACATGATGAGCAATTTTATTTCACTGCAAATTTTTTTAAGTAAATTGTGAACATCTCTAGATCCATAAAGTATTTTTGAATTGGCACCTTCTCTGAAAAACCCAGCGGGGGGTATTTGTCCCTATTGGACAGTTCTAGTTTTTATAGCCCTAATAGTCGAAGAGCTTATGCGATATTAAGGGTCTGTCGTCCGTCCAGTTGTCTGTCTGTGCATCTGTAAACAATACAATAGAAATTTCTGTGAAATATTTTCAAAATGCTACTCCTCCCACAGTTTTGGTCTGATTTCAACATAATTGACACACAAGTAGACCAGACTAAGATACATAATTCTATAATCGGTTTTTGATTTCGATGAGAACGGTGTTGCCATGGTTACTAGAAATAGACATTTCTTTGAAATATTTTCAAATGATATTCCTACAGTTTTGGTTCCTGTGGGGATCCGGGTTAGAATAGATCCTCAGTACCCATTGCTTGTCGTAAAAGGCGACTAAATAGGGCGTATAAGACCGTATAAACCGAGGCCCCGTGTCACAGCAGGTGTGGCACGGTAAAGATCCCTCCCTGCTCAAAGGCCGTAAGTGCCGAGCATAGGCCTAAATTTGCAGCCCTTCACCGGCAATGGTGACGTCTCCATATCAGTGAAATATTCTGGAGAGGGACGTTAAACAATATACAACCAACCTACAGTTTTGGTTTGATTGCAATAAATATTTGCCTAGAAAAGACTAAACCAATGAAATTGTTTAAAATTCTGAGGTTTTGCTTCTGGTTCAAATGCTACTTTATCTTCCTTTGTTATAACAATAAAGCAGTAGAGCGACCGTCCTGTCAGAGATTTCTGGGGGTTTTTTTAGGTGCAGACCACAACCTTTGAATTAACATCGAATATGGCTTTCAAACTGTTTAATTACAAAATATTTACTGTGCTTAGATATCCATCCATCCAATCCTCCATCTTGTCCATGTTCTTCTTAAGGTCATACGCAACGTATTTTGAACATTTTTGGATTCTTCCCTGGAGTTGAAGAGTTCCACTAAATGAAGGACCTGTGTGCAATATTTTTTTATCTCTAAATATGGATTTGGACACCTCTTCTTAAACAATTTTTGATGAAAAAAATCTGGAATTTATGTCTTATAATTTTTGTACATTTTTATTTGAATAATGCAAATATTTTCAAAATTCCATATCTTTTTAAAACCCCTAGTAACGCATGCTGATTTTTTTTTCTAAGATCATGATATTATAAGTTTGAATTAGGAATATCTTGGAAAAGTATCCGTAGATAAGGTACGTTGCATATGATGTCCTTAACCCTGCAACCATAGTCCTTCTGAACACGTCATGTCAATATTCAATATGTATTATGAATTCTGTTGAAAATTACGCCAAACAACGGGCAAACATATAAAACATGTAAATTGACTTCCACTGCAACATGGCGTGATGCTGGGATTTGTTGCAGCAGGAATGACTCTATCCAAGAAAAGTTGCGCCGCTGATATTTTTTAAAACAGAGATTGCTCTAATGGACATTTAAAGTATTAGATACAATGTCCATTCGTACCAAAATGCTGTCAAAAATATGAGTGTGAAATTATATCTAATTGTTTTTAACAAAGTAGAAAGTAGGTGTTTTTATAACATAAAGTTAAAAACATTAGAGTTACTTCTCTTTGCCTACAAACTGTTTTGTATAACGAAGGTCAAGGATTTCAGAACATTTTCTAAATGGCGATCCCTACAATGACTTTGAGTAGAACATTTCATGGATATAGCATACTCTTCCTGGGGGTTGTAAAATAAATAAGATGTAGTAAAAGGGTCAACCAAAAAAGACAAGAGACCCATGGGCCACATCGCTCACCCGAGCATTGTGGCTAGGAAAAAGTAGAAATTGGTTTACTGTTGAAAAGATTAAATCTAAAAGTTTGGCCCCGCCCTACCCCCGGGTCATGATTTAAACAAACTTGAATCTACACTATTTGGGGATGCTTCCATATAAACATGAGCAATTATGGCTTTGCTGTTCTTGAGAAGAAGATTTTTAAAGAATTTTCCTATATATTCCTATATAAAACTTTGGTAGGCCATTGTGGCCCCGCCCTACCCCCGGGTCATGATTTGAACAAACTTGAATCTACACTACCTGGGGATGCTTCCATATAAACATGAGCAATTATGGCTTTGCTGTTCTTGAGAAGAAGATTTTTAAAGAATTTTCCTATATATTCCTATATAAAACTTTGGTAGGCCATTGTGGCCCCGCCCTACCCCTGGGGGTCATGATTTGAACAAACTTGAATCTACACTACCTGGGGATGCTTCCATATAAATATGAGCAATAATGGCTTTGTTGTTCTTGAGAAAAAGATTTTTGAAGAATTTTCCTATATATTTCTATGTAAAACTTAGGTCGGCCATTGTGGCCCCGCCTTATCCCCGGGGGCATGATTTGAACAAACTTGAATCTAATCTACCTGAGGATGTTTCCCCATAAGTTTCATCTTTCCTGGCACAGTGGTTCTTGAGAAGGATTTTTTAAACATACCACCAAATTTTCACAAATTCTCAATTATCTCCCCTTGAATGAGGGCGTGGCCCTTCATTTGAACAAACTTGAATCCCCTTCACCCGAGGATGCTTTGTGGCAATTTTGGTTGAAATTGACCCAGCAGTTCTTTAGAAGAAGTCGAAAATGTAAAAAGTTTACAGACGGACGGACAGACGGACAGCTAGACGGACGCCGGACAAAATGTGATCAGAAAAGCTCACTTGAGCCTTCGGCTCAGGTGAGCTAAAAAAATATAAGAGCAATGTGAAACCCCATTTCATTGGTTAGGTTCCTACATATCCCCCCCCCCCCCCCCCCCCCACACACACACACACACCCTCTTTTAAATTTTACTATCACCTTCCATCCATTTGACGGTACTCTAATCTTCATGTATTTTATTTTTGGGAATTTTGCATAACAACAAAGAATCGATTCCAAATAAAGCAATGAATGGTCCCTGGAAGTACTCGGGGGATTTTGATACAGGTCTACGAGTAACTATTATAGCAGACCTATAAGCTAACGTGAGAGGATCAAACTGTACAAATAGACGAGGAAATAGGAAAGGGACTCTCAGTTTGCTTCCAAGTCTTAAATTTATTTCCTTTCTAAATTTGCCTAAAAATATGAGTAATCCATTTTGTTCAAAAAAATATTTTTAACAGTAACATTTTAACGAATTTATATAGAATGTTCCTTCCTATATACACACAACAAGGGTAGGTTCCTAATTGAACGTGTTTCATAAATAATTATTTCAAAAGAGGGTAGGAAAATTTTTTTGTCTTTTAAATTAGACAGTGTTAAGGTAAGATTAATTTCTGTTCAATGATTGTGATTTAGAGGTCAAAATAAAAGCAAATCTTATAAGATATGCAGGAATGTTTAATAATAATGCTTTTCATGAACCACGCAACATAAAATCTACAGACCATTAAATATGAATGATATACCAGTGGCGGACCTTTCGTGCGTTCTTCACACGAAACTGGCATTTCAGCACCGACACACGTGTTGTCTACAGTCCTGGCGGGACCAAAACGACACCTAAATCTGTAAGAAATTAAAATCCAGGAGCATCAAACTGAAAAGCCCCGCTTAACTCCGTCCCAGAGTTAACCTATCAGTCCTCCTTTCGGCCTTGTGCTCCGCAGAGAGTTTGTTAAATATACATTTGTATTGCAAATCAAGAATATACGGACAAACCTACCTTAATATGATGTACAAAACAAAATAAGCATTATGTAAGACAACCAAACCAGCACAGATTCATCAGACCTCTCTCATTAAAATGCAAGGCAAAGGAGAACATGAATAGACTTTCGGTGAAGTAAGAAATATCATATGCTAATTCCATTATATAGAAAAAAAATTTTAAAATATGTAAAATTGGCAAGTTAATTA